GGTCTCTGGTTGACTCCATGTCAGGGCACATGCCCAGGTTTCGGGTTCAAGCTCCAGTCGGGATATGTACAGAAGGCAACCGATCAGTGTCTCTCTCTTACATCAGTGTTTCTCTTGCTTCCTCTCCCTCCCTGTCTCTCTAAAAATCAATTTAAAACATTTTTTTTAAAAAAGTAAATACTAAGTAGTTGGAATCTATATTTATATCTTCTCCCAGCTACTTAGGACCACTGTGACCTTCAGCTCCTTCTCTGAGCACCTATACCACAAATACAGAAAATAAGTACTGTGTCTGCTGTAGCTGTGTAACAAGCAGGTCCCCTACACGGAACATTCTTTCCTTTAGGAACAGTATTGTTGGAGGCACTGAGTAGGCCCTTCCTGGACCCTGGTACTAAGTCACCTGCAGCCGTGACCCTCAATTTGTCAAAAGCAGAGAGAGACCCCACCAGATACCCTCATAATCACGCTGTAATAATAAAGAGAAAATGTGTGCTGCATTCTGTAAACTGCAAACAAACTTGATACCATAGACATTGACTGCACAGGGAGACAAAGTGCACATGAAAAATATAAACCACATCTAAAATTTGACCTAAACAACAGCAACAAAATAAATAAACAAAAATAAAATTTGACCGCCTTGCCAGTGTGGCTCAGTTGGTTGAGCATTAGTCCATGCACCAAGAGTCACCAGTTCGATTCTCGGTCAGGGCACAGGCCCCGGTTTCAGGCACAATTCCCAGTGGGGGGTGTGCAGGAGGCGGCCAATTGATGTTTCTCTCATTGATGTTTCTACCTCTCTCCCCCCTCCCTTCCTATCTTTCAAAAAAATCAATAAAAATGTATTTAAAAACATTTTTAAAAATAAAATGTAACCTATATAAAATTTGTATATGATCCTTAATTAATAATGTATTAGTAAGGTATTAATGTATGTAACAAGCATTGTTACATACTAGTAAGTGCTCAGTAATCTGTTTGGTATTTTACCTTTATTTAGTCTTCATAGCAACTATAATTAGAGGTATAACTATTCCCTCAGATGAAAGGCCGAAGCTGAGAGGGACCAAGGAGCTTGGCCGGAGTCGCGTGACCAGTGCGATCAGAGCCAGGCTTTCTGTGGAGCTTATCGGACCGCAGAGCTGTCGGCCAGCTGCACCTTCCTCCTGCACAGCGGCACTGGCTTGTAGCTTGACTAACAGCCCTTATCAGCTCTCTTGCCTTAGTGTTGTCTGCACGTGTCTGCTGTCTCCCCCACACGACTGTGAGCTAGTTGAGACCAAGGACCATACCCTGGTCGTCTAAAGGGTGTGACGCAGGGAGGGGCTGAGCATATTTTGTTTGATGACTGTAACTGAGATAAACAGGGCTCTGACCCAGGGACCTAAGAAGGGGATGGTCCCAAGCACAGCTGGCTTGCTGGAGAGAAAGATTTTGCCACTTTTCCCCTCCCCTTCCTTCCAGAAATCTGGTTTGGCAGACCCTACTGGGTTTCCTGTTGAATTGAAGTAACCTCCCAGAGCAACTTCTGGGCAGGCCCACAGTGCTCCTCCCATGTCCATCCACTCTTTTCCTCCGACAGATCCCTTGAGTACTAAGGAACTGGAATTCCTTTTCCAGCCACTAGGCCCACTGTGAACTCCAGCTCCTCCTCTCGGCTCCTATAGCATGTGACACCAACTGTTAGCTGTAGCAGTGGGTCAAACAGAGTGAGTCTCTTCTCCCCAGGGATACATTCGATGACGTCAACAGCAGGAAAGTTTGGAAGATTAACTTATACTGTCTCAATGTGTGCATGAGAAAGCCAAGGCCCAGGCAGGGGAGAGGCTGATGGCAGATTCAGATAAGGCAAGGCGCCTCCTTCCCGCTCTGTGGGACATTTTCCCTCAGGGTCCCTGAGCCCTGCCTGGGACTCTACTCCAGTGGTTGTTGGTGAGAACACCTTGGCTTCTCCCTTGCAGTCCTTCACCCCATGGGACGTGGATCCAGTCCCGGGGCTGAGCCTGGGCACAGACAGCTTGCCCTCCCCGTCCCCATGGCTTAGCCCACAGGTTTCTAGGCGGAGCGGTCACACCCACAAAGCCTCAGACTCACAAGGACTCTCGAGCCCAGTTTACTTTAACCCGAGCACCTCTAAAAGGGCACACGTCCCAGTTCATCATCTGGACGAAGATCATGAGCAGAAGGGTCTACTGGCTCTTCCAAGGTCATCAACCAGTCAGTGAGATCAGAGCTCGGGCGGACTTCGCTTCACAGCTCCCCCTGCCTCTACCTCCACCGGCACGTGGCACAGCAGGGTCCTCGGGTGGCTGGCTGCCCGGGAATGGGGCTCCGGGAACAACGGGCTTGTCCTGAGGCTCCACCCGAGCTGCGCTTCTTTGGGCCTTGGTGACCAGATGTGACATGCACAGCCCCAGGCCTGCCACCACCAAGGGCTGTTTGGCAGTGCTGGGCTTCGCTGGAGAGTGGGAGTAACTTCTTCTCCAGTGTGTTTGAAACCGAGAATGATACACCTAAGGGGGACCCCAGTCCTTGCCTGGACCTGCCATTTTCTCCCTGAAGGCCCTGTGTCTGCGGCTGCGGAGCTGGGTCTTCGGGGGAACGGACTGTGGGAAATACTCGTTTCTATGTCTGAGGGCAAGACACCAAGACGAGAAGCCTGCTAAGGGAGCTCCCTTCGGGCGCCCCCACTTCCCAGCCTTGCTCCCCTACCCTTGAGACTGCCTGTAACTAACTGGCTTTCTTCAGCATGCTTTCTGTGTTTGTTCAGAGCCTTCTGAATTGTAGTGGAATGGCTAATATTCCATACCGAGATGGCACAGGACCGTGTTCTCCTCATGTTGTCCCTTGGCGTGGTTCTAAATTTCCTGTGTAAATGATGTTACAGTGAACATCTTCATGCACAGAGATTTTTGCTTATATTGGATTTTAAGAATGAAAATGAGCCCTGGCCGGTTTTGCTCAGCGGTTAGAGCATCGGCCTGCAGTCCCGAGAGACCCGGGTTCGGTTCCCACTAAGGGCACGTACCTCAGTTGCAGTTTGTCCCTGGCCCCGGCTGGGTCGTGTGGGTGGCAGCCACTCGATGTGTCCCTTTCACGTCGATGTTTCTCTCTTTATCTCTCCCTCCCACTCTATCTGAACAAAATATCAAAAAATGTCCTCGGGTGAGGATAAAAAAAAAAAAAGAATGAAAATGATACCATTGTAATTAATTATTAATAACAGGAAAGAGGCGAAGGGAAGGCCAAATATAGGCATGTCATTTTGGCGGCTTCGCCAGGAAGTTACAACTTTACATTCCCCAGGGACCCGACAAAGGGGAGATAGACGCATGCCCAGTAAAGTCAGGGTGACATAGGGAAGGTGCTTACTGTCAGTCACACCTGGGAACAAAAGTCATTGCCAGAACGGGCGTGGCCGCTGCTTAATCCCCTGAACAAAGGGCTTCACTCTCGTGCTCTTCGTGCTTTCTGGGCCCTTGGGACCCTTGTTGCTGGGGTTCGCGCTCCTGCCTTTGCCCACATGGCCCAGGGCCACGCGGACCCCACCACCAGGGACTGACGGCCTGGAGCCAGCCTGATGCTGTGCTGGGCCTGTGTCCACCGCGGAAAGGACACTCTGACTCCAGCTGTACTGAAGGATGTAATTCCGCAGAATAAAGCTTTCTCCCACATCTCACCCTCCCAGGGGACTTCTGGGAATGCTTATTCCAGGGGTACCCCAAGAACCCCACTCCCACTCACAACAGGGAAAAACCACCTATGCTTTTCTCCAGTAACAAAATGACTGAGTCAGATAATATAATGTAAATGTCTCTGCGGTTTCTACTAAAGATGGCTAAGTTGCTTCCGAAAGATGACTGATTTATAATACCACCTGCACTGAGTAAACTTACAACACAATCTACCAACACTGGCTCTTTTTTTAAGTTGGCTGTTTTGGAAGATTGTACATGGTATCTCAAAGCTGTTTTCCCCCTTGCTAGCAAGGGTGGAGTTCAGACTTTAAAAAGGGTTGTTTTGAAGGTGTCCTGAGTCGTAGTCACGTGTGTTCGTTCCTCGCCACTAGCCAGGTCATAATAAATAGCATTAATGATGATAATAACCACAATTAGGAAAAGATGTATAATTCCTTAGTTCTTAGAGAACTTTATAGTTTACCAACTTTCATAAGCAGTAGCTCGTTTTATTCTGCCAGTAGGCAAGGCCGGGCAAAGTTCCCCCATCTGCAGAGGAGACTGCAGAGCCCTTCTGGCTCCAAAAACAAGCCCACCCGGTGGGTGTAAGTCTCGGTGTAAGTCTTGGGAGGAGGGTACTCAGAGGATGCAGACACTGCAGTCCCGCCCCCACCCCCGGGGACACAGTCTCCCCTCTGCCTCACTGCGAGCCCCTCCTCCTCCCTGCAGATCCTCGTTCTGCTTCTCTGTCAGCATGTACGTCTCCTCTCGAAATAGCAGCTGCCTGCAGGCTCTGCCTCCTCGCAGCTCAGGCTCCACATCTAACCAGAATCTTTGCCCCCTGCTTTATGGCATCTCAGGAGAGACGGGCCTTCCCGGCCTCCCACAAGAGTTTCCCTCTGCTCAGGTGTGCATCCTGGGGGACCCGAGGGGGGACAAGGCCATATGCTGCTAGCAGAGGAGCTGCGGCTGAAAGCAGATCTCTCGGAAGGGCGCGGGGAGGGACGCAGAGACAGGCTGGCTCGGAGCTGCTCAGTGTGCGCCCCTTGGGCCTGTCTGGTCCATAACAATCACTTGCCAGTGATAATAGCTGCTGAGGGCTGCGGAGACATCTTAGAGAAGACCTCCCAGAGGAAGGGAGGAGATGGTCTCTTTTCTCTTTAATCACGCCCTCGAACCTCCCTTCAGGCCTCAGTCAGTTCTGCCCACCACCCTGGCCATGAGGTGCCTCACCAGGCAGGTCTCGGAAGCCTGGTGTCAGAGGGAGAGGCATCGGGCCTCCTGCCCACCCACCCAGCCTAGGCCTCGTTCCCTCTGCAGGTGCGCATCTGGGAGATCCCTGAGGGCGGGCTGAAGCGGAACATGACAGAGGCTCTCCTGGAGCTGCACGGGCACAGCCGGCGCGTGGGGCTGGTCGAGTGGCACCCCACCACCAACAACATCCTGTTCAGTGCCGGCTATGACTACAAGGTGGGCAGCCTAGCAGGCAGTGGGGCTGGGGAGGGAGAGAGAAGGGCATCTTGGGACCTGTAGGAAACACTGTCACTTTCCCGAGCATGTTGATCAGTATTGTCTCATCTGCTCATTGACTCATTCACTACACACAACTGAGCACTTTTTGTGTGCCCATCCTTCCTGGGGTTCACAGAGGCTGGAGGCATGTGCACTGCCTTCTCTGGGGCTGGCAGACTGGAGTCAATGCCACTCGGAGTCCACCTCTCTCTTGGTGGGAAAAAAAGAGCAACCAAAGCTGCTGGAGGGAAGAGAACGGAGCCCCAGCCCCTGCCCTCAGGTGTGCCCTCAGAAGAGGTGTGCCAGCTGCGGGAACCTGGCAAGGAACATATATCCTTCTTGCTTGTTGTGGCAACTGAGCCCAGGCTGGACTGTGGGACAGGGACGCATCAGCCTTTGATTCAGAACTCGACGACACTGTCCTGCATCCCAGCACACCCCAACCCTGCACGGAGCACCTCTCCCTACGACAGCCGCAGCAGGGCTGACCCCAACTCCTGCATGTCTGCCCTGCCAGGTCCTCATCTGGAACCTGGACGTGGGGGAGCCCGTGAAGATGATCGACTGCCACTCGGACGTGATCCTCTGTATGTCCTTCAACACCGATGGCAGCCTGCTCACCACCACGTGCAAGGACAAGAAGCTGCGCGTGATCGAGCCCCGCTCTGGCCGTGTTCTGCAGGTGAAGCCCCGCTCTTCTGAGGGGAAGGGAGGGCCTGGGGCTCAGCTTTCAGCCAGGCCTGGGGAAAGGCCGAGCCAGCTCTCCTCTCCCTGCACCTGGCCTGCACCTCTGTGGACCATCCCGTCTGTTCTGGGCCCTTCTCTGCCTGTTCTGGGTGGGGAGGGGCTTTAGCACCCTTCTGGTTCACTCCGCTCCCCGCCCAGATGGATTCTTCTGGCCTGCTCTGGGGACGGGGCTGGTGACACCCTTCAGCACATGAGTTGTGGGGTGTTGACTGAGCCCCGTCATGGGCACAGGAGGAGAGGATTTGGACTCACTGCCAGCCACCTGTGGAGGATAAGCCTGGCAGAAATGGCTCAGGGTGCCAGCCCCAGGGACAGCTCCAAGTGGGGAGGTGGGTGGTGATTGTAACTCTGGTTTTGTTTTGTGTTTTTTGCATTTATCTTCAGATAAAGTGGGAGGGAGAGAGGGAGGAAGAGGGAGAGAGAAACATCGATGTGAGAGAGACACATCGAATGGCTGCCACCCACACGACCCCAACCAGGGCTGGGGACAAACTGCAACCGAGGTACGTGCCCTTAGCGGGAACTGAACCTGGGACTCTCTGGTCCCCGGGTCGGCACTCTAACCACTGAGCAAACTGGCCAGGGCTGGTTTTGGTTTTTGAGTCCGCTGAGCCTTGACTGTGAGAATGGATTAGATGCCCTTTGGGGGTAAGAAATTAGTATTTCTCAAGCACCCGAAGCCTACCAGTCACTAAGTGGGATGGAAAATTTAGATTAAATTTGAGATTTATCTACTACACAAGAAAGGATGGACGGCAACCTGGCTGTGTTTATCTAGGAAGAGTCCAACATTGTGAGGCCAGAGAGTCAGCTGCTACTTCTACAGATAATAGTTACCCTAGCTACTACCTCACTAGTATTCACCAGCAATTACCCAGAGCTCCCTGCGTGGCGCACAGTGGGTCACGGGCTCCGCGTCCTTCCCTCATGTGGTCCTCACCACAGTCGTCTGAGGGGGTGCCGCTACTCTTCCCACGTCACACATGGGAACAGAGCCTTGGAGAGGGTCAGAGCCTTGAATGTCACAGCCACGGAGGCGCTGGGGTTTAAACCCAGACCAATGGACCCACGAGCCCATGCTGAGCAGGAAAGGTGATAGAGAGCAGACAACCCAGCCTCCACCTCCCGCTGCGACTGAGCCCAGGGAGGGTGAGGGGCTCCTCCCAGGTTACATTTTGGCAGAATTTGGAACTAAAATCAGAGCAAGTGACACCAGCCTGGGTCTCTGCACTGCTCCACCAGCCTCTGGTTTCTACCTGATGCTGACTCATCCTGGCAGAGAACCTGGTCGGTTAGGAGGAGCAGGAGGAGCTGGGAGGCAGAGGACAGCTTCCTAGGAGCCCCTGGTGAAGTGAGTCATCAAACTGAACCAGCATGAGTTTCCTGTCCTCGGCCCACAGGTGCCTCATCCTCAGAGATTCTTGCCAGTAGGTGTCGTTTGTAGGTGAAAAGAGAAGCCTGCTGAGAGCCCCTGGCACCTGCCGCATTGCAGGCCCTGCCGGGCTTGGTCCGTGTTCGCCCCCGCCCTGCCCCCACCATCTGGGACATGGCAGAGAGGCCTGGTTCCCAGGCTCGGCCGCTGCTCCTCAGCACCTGTATGTGTGTCCTGGGGCCGCTATAACAAATACACGTGGGCAGCTCACAACAGAAATGGGTGTTGACGTGGTGTCAGCAGGGCCACACGCCCTCCGGAGGCTCCAGGAGAAGACCCTGCCTTGCCTCCTGCAGCTGCTGGTGGCTCTGTCTTCCTGGGCTTGTGGTCCCATGACTCCAGCTCGGCCTCGCGGTCACGTCACCTTTTGTTCTCTGTCTGGAGTCTCCCCCACCTGTCAGAGGGCGCTCATGAGAGCACGCGGGCCCACTTGGATAATCCAGGAGCTCCCCATCTCAAGGCCCTTAACTCACAATGATATCTGCAAAGTCCTTCTTTCCAAATAAGAAAACTTCCACGGGTTCCAGGCGTTCAGACATGGGTTCATCTTCTGGGGCCACCCTTCGGCCCACTGCAGGGCACTGGTGTCGGGGGCCCTGGCTCACCACCGGCTCTCTCTGTCCCCCCAGGAGGCCAACTGCAAAAACCACAGAGTGAACCGGGTGGTGTTCCTGGGGAGCACGAAGCGGCTCCTCACCACAGGGGTCTCCAGGTGGAACACGAGGCAGATTGCCCTCTGGGACCAGGTCAGCCGCAGGAGGCCGGGTGTAACCTAACAGTGCTGTAGCTCTGGGGGCTTGGCTGGAGTTTGGGACGGTAAGATCCATCCTTCCTGGACACAGGCTGATACTGGCCCCCTCCCCGCAGGAGGACCTATCGATGCCTCTGATCGAGGAGGAAATTGACGGGCTCTCCGGCCTCCTGTTCCCCTTCTATGACGCCGACACCCACATGCTCTACCTGGCTGGAAAGGTAGCAGTGAGTGGGGGACGGACGGGGCAGCCTGTGGGAGACCCCTGCCCCCACGGGGCCCCTGCTCCTTCCCTACTCCCTCGAGAGCCAGCCTAACCTCTCCGGCCTTCCCTGACCCAGCCTGGGTCTCACTCTCTTCCACTGGAACCTACCCTCAAATCGGACACTTACTCTCCCTGAAGTGTCCATGAGGGTTCCCTCAGAGGTGGCTGGAGAGGATTTGACATTGGAATGCGGATCAGACTGGAGTGGAGAGGACTGTGGCTGATGATAGAACCTGAGGCATGCCAGACCGCCGCCGAGCAGGCCCCGGCTGTCAGCAGAGCCCTCTGCCACGCACTCCGCCGGCCCCGCCAGTCCCTGCAGCAGGCCCCCCAGGGGTCTAGAGACCACAGCTCCCTGGTCTCTGACCACATTTGGGGCACAACAGAGGCTCTCTTCAGCAGACCCCAGACCAGGGCTTATTCAGCCTTTCCCTCCCCCCTATCTTCCTTACCTCCCTCTCTTCCTGCCCACAGGGAGACGGGAACATCCGGTACTACGAGATCAGCACTGAGAAGCCCTACCTGAGTTACCTCATGGAGTTCCGCTCCCCAGCCCCGCAAAAAGGCCTCGGTAAAGGGTCAAGACGCTGCCTTGGCTGTTAGGCTGTAGAACAGGAGATTGGACATTTGGCTCATTGGTTATAACCCCCCCCCCCCCCGGCAATAAAATATCAGACTTAGAAAACCACAGGGCATGGGCAAGTCAGAACAGAACCTCCAGGTGCCGCCCCTGTGAAGGTCAGCCTGCTGGTCTTCAGCCACCCGGCACCACCCACTCGCCCGGCTCATTGTCCCATGGTGTTTGGCGTCCTCCACCATCTCTGCTCATCAGCAGCCCGTAGGGGTTCCCCTCCCCTGCGACGTGATGTGATCTGAAAGTCTGGTTGGAGATCGCTCTGGCTCCCGTAGGCAGAGCGGGTTTGGGAGCGTGGTTTTGAAAGGGCAGGAAGAAAGCAGAGACCAGTTAGGAGGCCACTGTGGACGTCTAGGCAAGAAATGATGGTAACTAAGGGGATGGCACGAAGACGGCGAGAAGGGGATGATCCAGGAGATGTGTAGACAGTAAGGTCTGCAGGACTTGGAGAGGAGAGGAGGCAGAGGGAGGAACCAAGGGTAACCATTTCTCGTCCTCCTCACCTGTGGTCACTACTGAGCACTTACCATGAGCCGGACACTTTCGGAAGTTCGGAGGGGCTGAGTAGCTCACCCCAGGCAGGTCATGTAGCTGTTGGGTGGCAGAGCCAGAACTCCAGCTCAGCCTACTGGCTCCAGATCCCACTCAGGTCCGTTACAGCACTTCCCTCCAGCGCCAGGGATGCCCTTGTCTGGAGGAGCAGCCTTCCATGCCAGCTGAGGTTAGACTCACATCATGGAGAGAGAAACAACTGTTATCTGTGCGCTTCACCGTGCCGAGCAGTTCATAAGCATCTTCACACTCAACCCCCCAACATCTCATGAGGGGCCACTTCTTTCCTCCACTAATCAGTCCAGGAACCGAAGTATAGACGTCATGATTTGCCAAGGACTCCTAGCCCTAAAGAGCGACAGAGCTAGGATTTATTTGAACCTGGGTCTGTCCTACCCCCACGCCTGTGTTCCTGACACCACCCTGCACTGCTCCCTCAGTAAGGATCAGTAGGTGCAGCTGTTAGGGACAGTGTGGCTAAGGACACATGGACAATACATGCACGCACACACACACACATGCTCTCAGTCCTAGAAGACTATGACAAGAGCAAACAAGCTGTGTTTAAACCTCAAAGGTGCATGGGAAAAGGTTTTTCCCTCCTAGGGACTCTGAGGACAGGAAGCCAGTTCATTTCAGAAGGCGATGGGCTTTGGGGCTTATACTGTAACAATGCTGTGACTGTGGGCAAGCCCCTTCCCTTCTGACCCCCAAGAGTCTCATCTAGTAAAAGAATGGATTAGATCCCAATATTTCTGCAGCCCTTCCACTTCTAAAAGACCCCAATTCTAAAGCAGGCACTTTGCTGAGGCAGGCCTGGCCCACCCAGAGACAGAACTGACCCAAGAGCCCTCAGCCCACCTACTGTCCTCTGCATGGGTCATTGCTCCAATCTAGTGCCCACCACCGGGGTCCCTCCCCTGTGGGACATCAGGGAGGAGGGGCACCAAGAGGGGAATACCCGGCCCCCAGGGAGCCACATGTGCCTGTCCACAGGGGTCATGCCCAAGCACGGGCTGGACGTGTCGGCGTGCGAGGTGTTCCGCTTCTACAAGCTGGTGACTCTCAAGGGCCTGATCGAGCCCATCTCCATGATCGTGCCCCGGAGGGTGAGTGGGGCTGGACGGGCCTCCCTCGGGCCCCCTGCATTGAATCGTAGCTTGTTCTCTGCTGACTCTAAACCTGGAGGAGCCCAGAAGGAGCCCTTTTCCTGTGGACTGGGGTCTTCAGGCCCGATCTAGGGGTGGCGAGGGGAGGACAGTTTTGTTTGCTAACAAACTCAGGGTGGGAATTCCAAGCGGGAGACACTGAGGGAGGCAGGAAAGCAGGTAGCATGGTTGGTGATCAAGAAGGAGAAAAGTCTGACTGGAGAGCGAGGGTTTTTTAGTAGCCCCCCTTTCATTTCCCCTCTGTCTGCCCCCCCCCCCCCACTACAGTCAGATTCCTACCAGGAAGACATTTACCCCATGACGCCAGGCACGGAGCCAGCTCTGACCCCTGATGAATGGCTGGGAGGCATCAACCGAGGTGAGTCCCTCAAGGGGTGGGCTTCACCAGAGGCTGAGTGTGTGAGCTCTGCCTTCGGGCTGGCTCACCCCATCTCTGCACATCCTCCTGTTGGAATTTCCCCTTGTACTCGGCCAGCGGTCAAGTCCATCAATTCTCAGTGAGAACATGTCCCTTGCCTTCCTTAGATCCTGTGCTGATGTCTTTGAAAGAAGGCTATAAGAAGTCCTCAAAAATGGTATTTAAGGCTCCCATCAGAGAAAAGAAGAGCGTTGTGGTCAACGGAATAGATTTATTAGAAAATGTCCCACCCAGGACAGAGAATGAGGTAAGGAATATGTTATTACCTGCACAGGCCCTGGAAGAGCGAGACCTTTACATTTCAATTGCGGGCGTCAGGCCTTGAAGCTAGCTCCATTTGGCCTGTCTTTCTGTGACAAATACTGTAAGTAGCCTGCTATTGGTTTCCAGTGCCTCTGACCCCAGTAAATAGAGGCTGGGATTGCATAGGGATATTGATGCCCCTCCCCAACCCTTAAATTCGCTAACCCCCCCAGTTACGTGTGAATTCACAGTCTCCTCATGAATCCACTCCAGAATGTCACTGTCATTCGGTGTTACAGGAGATGTAAATTCCTGCCTCAGAGGAAAGCCAGCCCCGTGCAGCACAGCACCGCTGTCCTTCCTGGCACTGTAGCACCGATGGGCTCTGACAGTCCCCTGCTCTGTGGAAGATGCTGGGTGTTTATGCAAATGCTCTTTGTACCATTTGCAATGGGAGCATTTGGGAGCAGCCATAGCCGGGCTTTGTGCGTGCCCCTGAGCAGGCTTCTCTTTCCAGCCACACCCTCAGTCTCTGGTGCAACACGGTTTAGCTCAGACAGGACGTGTAGAATGCCTGCCGTGTGCCAGGCACTTGGCTCGATGCAGCCGAGGCAGAGACGGCTACGTTTGAACCCTGGCCTCCCGTTTCCTGGCTGTGCCTGAGCACCTTTCCTGACCTTTCTGAGTCCATGTCCTCATGGCAAATGGGGACAGGAAATGCTGTGAGCACAAGTATCATCGAAGTGAGACACTCCCTGGCTCACATTAAGTGACAGGTTCGGGATGTTTGGAAATTGGCCTGTGTGGACTCACCCGTTCCTCGGTGATCCTGACTCAGGGGCCGGCAGGTCTATAGTTCCTTCCCTACCTCACAAGGGCAAGTAGGAGCCCTGAGCTGAGCCTGGAGAAGGGAGAGCCTAGTGACCTCAGTCACCAGGGACACGGTGGGGGGGGGGGGGGGTAGTGGAAGGTCTGGGGGAGGAGGGTGGAGGCTGCTATGGGGAGCCGAGGCGGTGGAGTGCTGAGGACCTGGTGGGACCCTCTTGGGAAATCACCTTCTCACCTCTTTTCTCCGGGCCCGCCCTGGCTCTCGGGCCCCTTTCCGTCCTTCCAGCTCCTCCGAATGTTCTTCCGGCAGCAGGACGAGATCCGGCGGCTGAAGGAGGAGCTGGCGCAGAAGGACATCCGCATTCGGCAGCTCCAGCTGGAACTGAAGAACCTGCGCAACAGCCCCAAGAACTGTTAGCTGTCCGTGGGGCTGCCGTCTGAGCCGGTCTCTCCGTTGTTCCTGCTCATCCCTTGACTTCCCCTTAGCCTGTGACCCCAGAGACAGCCAGGAAGGGAGCTGGGGGACAGCCTAAGGACCCCACCTGCCACCTCAAGAACTGGAAGCCGATCTCAAGAACATGGTGACCTCATGCTAATGAGAGTCCCCAGCCTCTCCTGGAGACCCACCACTGGCAGCCCCTTTTCCTGCCACCCCAAGAGCCTCGGCTTCCTCTCTGCTGGGCAAAGACCATGGATTCCCTCAGGGGTGCCCTCAGTGGACCAGGGAGCAGAGGAGGAAGCCAGGACCCCAGTAGACTTAGAACTGGAACTTTTCCCTTCGAAGGAGGCTGCTGTCAGGACATCTCAGCAGCCGCTGCAGGGCTCAGCATCCCTGATGGACCACTGTAAGGGCTGGGTGGCAGGCATCACCTGTCGCCCTCCCCGCCCCCCTGACAAGGGTTGCAAGCAGCCCCACTCCTTTCTGTCTCTTGACCCTCTCTCTTGTCTTCAGGGAATTAAGAGGATTGCTCACCAAGGCCATAATGACCCCTTGTCTTCCCATGATGCTCTTCAAAGCTCTTGCAATACCTTTTTCCCATTTAATGTGTGAGGCAGGCAGGGTAGGGAATCGTGTCCCCATTTTATATATGACAGAACTGAGGGTCACACTGGCAAAAGACTTACTAAGTCACCCAGCAGGTCAACAGTGGACCCAGAACCTAGGGTGTCCAGACTCTAGGCCAGGGCCCTTCCCACTGCATCAAGATGCCAATCCCTGGGGGCTTCACCAGTGCCCAAGTATCTGTGGAGAATGAGACCTGGAAGCCACTTCTACCGTCTGCCCAACACCAGTAGTGCCAAGGTGTCACACTGCTCCTCACACTCGATGCCCCTCCGTCTCCCTGGCCCCTGTGCCCTGGCCCCCTCCCCACCCCCAAGGGACTCCCTCTGAGATGAGGCTTCTTCCTTCTGGAAGCTGAGGCTGAGGAGGGTGGAGTTGGGCCCTGGGGACGGCAGAGCAGGGGCCTGTTTGCTTCAAGGGGTGGATGTGTGTGTCTCTCGCCACTTTCAGCCTTATGCTTGTAGAATGACCACAGCCCCTCACGTCGGTATAGCACTTTAAAGTTTACACCATTCGACACATCGGATCTCGTTTGAGTCTCACATCTGCTCCAGGAGGTAGGGAACACTCTTCCCGTTCTGCAGATGAAGAAACTGAGAAGTGACCTGAGGTCACAGGACTCTGAGATGCCACATTTCTTCCAGTCTTCTACACATTTTCTTTTCTTTTTTTCTCCATTTCCCACTACCCACAGTGTCTATGAACACTGTTCTTCTCAGAAAAGTCACTGTTTGGGGGTAAGATCTGGCCTGGGAATCAGGAAATGGGTGTCCACCCTTCTCTCTCATTGGCTAGGATCTACTAGACACGTCACACTCTGCACCTGCCTTTCTCGTGGCTACCCTGCAGAACATCATCCACGGGGGTCAGGTTCTCTAAGCCCCTCCAGGTGACCCGGGCAGAGAAAGCTCTCCGACCGCTGGGGTTTTCCTCCAAGAACCTTCCACCCTCTCGGCCAGCTAAAGCAGGGTCTCCTCTCCCCCAAACCCCTGCATCTAGACAGTGCTAGCTCTCATCTCCTCCCCACACCTCTTGAGCTTTTTTTTCTTCCCCATTGACCTTTGTGGTCTTCTGTGATTATTTATGCTGCCTCCCAAGGATAGAATTGAAATAAAATGTTTTCAACTTATCAAACCTGGCCATTTCACTTAACCCCAGCTGGTCCCTGCTCTTGGTTACCACGGTATCTGGATGGCCAACTCCCCAGCCACAGCTCCTCTGCCGTTCTGGAACGACAAACCACATTTGTATCTACAGATATAATTTCACACTTTCATTCACCTCAGCAAGGGATTCTGAACCTCAGCACTATCAATATTTGGAGCCAGATCTTTTTTTTTTTTTTTTGCTGTGGGGGCTGTTCTGTGCACTGAGTAAGATATTTAGCAGCATCCTTAGCCTTGATCAGATGCCATAGCAACCCCTACCCAGTTGTGACAAACAAAAATATCTCCAGATATAGCCAATGTCCCCTGGGGTGTCAAAATGGCCCCCAGTTGAGAACCACTGTTCTTTCTAGTCATTAGCAGGCACCTGCTGTGTCCACCCTGTGTTGAGATCTGGGGGACACTGGAATGCTATTTCACAGTTTACAAAGCGCTATTCCATATACTTGACTCTTGCTCTTTATTCTCAGCAGCTCTAGGTCTATTTTAATATCATTCCCATTCTTAAGAAAGCAGTCAGGTCCAGAATGGTGACATGCTCAAGGTCACTCAGCTGGTGTAGCAGGGAAGACTTATACAAGGGATGAGGATCTTATTAGCCTGCAGCCAGAGAAGGCATGTGCTCCCAGTCTCCAGCCAGTCTTCGTCCTGTCCTGGGGGGAGACCGGGGACCCGTCATAAACAAGGGGTGTTCAGCAGGGGCTGCCAACCACTGGGACACCCTCCTCTCACCAAGCCAGGGTTGTCATGCAGCAGAGTTGTCAGGCTGCCAAATGGACAGGCACGTAGCAGTGTGGACACCACAGAAAACTCAGAAGAGCCAGAGGAAAGCAATGAAAACCTTAGAAAAGAGAGCCGGAGAGGAAATGAAGGAAGGACTGCAGAGGCGCAATGGGAAAGGCTCCGAAACCAGGAGGGGTTGCTTCAGGCCCAGCTCTGCCTCTGGCTGGATGCGCGACATTGAGTAATTCACTGCTCCTCTCTGGGCTTCACTTCTCCATCTCTAAAATGAGAGGCTAAGACAACTTTAGGGTCCTTTCCTGGTCTAACCCCTAGGTTTCTATTATACCAGCAGTTGGGAGAATGAGACAAACCCTCAAGACCACACACTGTCTAGCACGAATGGTGCAAAGGAGAAGTACATCAGGAGCAGCAGGTCGGCTTCCTCCAGGGTTTAGTGCAGAAAAGTCCTTTTGCAAAACATGAATTTGAACAAAGACACGCCTGGAGTTTCTGCTCTAGATCAATTCACAAAGTCCTGAGTTTGAAAGAATTGCTACAGTCATTGAGAGTCTGGGCTTTATAAGCGCTTCTCCTGGGGCCCTGAAGAAGGTGGAACTAGTTTTTTGCCTGAGGCTCCCCTCTCCCCCACCACCACCTGGGCTCAGGGACCAGGTGATCTGTCTCATGTGTGTCTCTGTCCACTGAATCCCCAGTTCTGAGCTTAACCTGGCAGCTCTTTGACTCATTATGGCAAATTGTCCAAGTTCAGGGTCAAATGTGATCCTTCCCTTCCCGAGTTTTCCTGAGTTTTCCTATCTGCGATTGTTAAGTAGGGACAAGTCCTCATTGGCTGGCTGTGTGTCCTTTAGTTCCTCATATACTAGAATATATTATGCCTAGTCTGTTACGCTGATCCTGTTGCCAGTTATGGCCTGGCTAGCCACATTGCTTTGATGATCCCAACAGTGGAGGCCAGCAGGTCCTCTCTGGCTCTTTGAACCTGTTCTTACTGCCATGTTCCCCACCAGGTGGGTGCTTCCCTCTTTACTCCAGTGAGGACAGAGCATAAACTCCAGACCCTTCTCTTCTATGGAAAGGTCCTTCCTGGGTATGCCTAGAACCCCTTGTCCTATCCCCCAACACCTACTTGGATTTTCAACTCAGTCTAACACACTTTAGTAGCTGGATCTACTTAGTGCTGGGTGCTGGGAACCCAGAGACAGGAAAGAATCAGGCCTGCCCTTGAGGGGCTCTGGCCAGTGGTCAATCCATGGGCAGCATGTCATCTAGCAGAACGAAAGCCCCTGGAGGCTGGAATGAGCTTTACCCTCTGCTTGGTTCAGCATAGCGTAGGCAGTTGTTGTGGGATTTGCTGACACTCCTGTTCTCTTCTAGCCAGCCTCCTGAGATCCCAAGATGGACTTGGGCATTTTTAGCCTCTCTCCTAGTACTGGGCAAACACCCATGACTGCCAATGGACCGTGCAGAACGTGGCTGCTGCTTCATTGTGGGAAATGACTTCATATTGAAAACAACCCCCTACGCACAAGGCCGCCACCCCTCAGCCTTGCTGCACGGAGCTGGAGCAGACACTTACCTCGACCACAGGAAGCATTACCACACTCTCCCTTTCCTCCGCTGGGCTGGCAGCCTGTGGATTGCAGGCCTGTGGTGCAGGGAGGGAAGAGGGCCCTGGCCGGGGTGTTGGCAGAAGCTCCTTGTATTATGTGCATGTGTGTTTCTATTTGGGAACAACCTGCAGCCTGGCTGTCCTTGGAATTGTAATTTGGTAACAAACACAAATGGGTCAGCCTTCCTTAGAGAGACAAAGTGAACATCTACAGGGTCAAGTCTGAGGGGCTGTAGGAAGCTCCTGTTCCATGGCCTGTCCCTTACACCTGCTGTCACACTGCCTGGAATCCAACCCCCTCGTCTGCCCCACACGCACATTAGCCCACAGTCCCTTTGGGCTAAACATTGCCCTTGCCGGAGCCCTCTTCATATGCAGACCCCAGGACTGGGGAACTACTGTGAACAGGGTTAATAGACTGAGTGAAGGAAACCGGACAATGAAAAGGAGAGGGACCAAGTGGGAGGAGCGAGGTGAGGACAGAGATCCCGGGTTTCAAGGTATCAGTGATGAAGGCAAGATTCAAAGACCAGGAAGAGTTTGCGAGGAGCTTGAATCCAGCCAGCAGGTGGCAGATTATGGCCTTCCTATCAAGGCCATTTTTCCTAAACTGGGTTTCTTCTGCCACCTGCCACCTGCCACCTGCCACCTGCCACCCCACTCCAGAATTAATGACCCAACCAGAAGCACCAAGGCCTCAAGGCAAAGCAGACACACAGAATCGCCAAGATCTGAAATGCCCCAGGTACAGGAGAAGGGGAGCTCAAAAGGGGGCCGCCACCCCCCTACCCCACCCCCACCCCCACCCCCACCCCCACCCCCGCCACTGACGTGTCTCCAAGGAGCGGCCAGAGGAGGGCGCTCACCTCGCCGAGGGCGCTCACCTCGCGGTCCCCGCCGAGGCCGCGGGCCCTGAGTAGTTGGAAATAGACGGGATGTAGGCTCACGTCCCAGCCCAGCCCTGACCTGCTCTGTGACCTTGA